AAACAGATTCTTATAGTTTTTGTGTTAAGTTTAAATCATGATTTTCAGCGTTAGTCCAATGCAAATTTGAATGAAAACTTTAAAAATAGTTATTCAATGCTCTAAACATTCATTATTCATACAATCAGAATTTATTTGGATTACTTAAAAGTTTTAAAGCTTTTTAAAGTATTGCACCAATTATTGTGAAAAGACCAGTTCTTCCCCGATTCTCCTGTTCATCTACTGTTATGTTTTTCATTTCTAGGATCACTAAGGTTTCTTAATGCCAAGTAGATTTCTACTTTCAAAAGCTATGAGACTAAAACGTAAACCAGTTTTCTCTGCTAAGGCAGGAAATCTTTCCAGGATATAAATGAGAAAAAAATGTGAGGATAAAAAGATCCCAGTTCTTTTATACAGTGACATTGCACTGTTTACACAATACATGATCTTTGAATACACATACAGTAAGGAAAGCAGTAAGTGTTTATGGTCACAATAAAACTTCAAAGTGTGTTTTGCATCAAACACTTTAACATTTGAGACTGTTTGAAGTATGGAATCTTTTATAACCAGAGATGATTCCCAGAGACATATTGATAGAATTACAGATTTTGGTGGCTAGATAAGGTTTCAGCTCTTGTAAATTTTCCTTTAAAATTCATGAGCATTAAAAAGAGTATTTAAACAAAGAAGAAATGTTGATTTAGGACCTGACACAACCTTCACTAGGTCTGATAACCACTCAATTTGCAATGACATTGTGAGCAAGTTACTCAGTGCTGAGAGACTTCCAGTACTTTCTCCTGCTGGGAGCTCATGACAACAGAGAAATATCCCACAATAAATTCGTAAAGAGTTACAGATAGCTTATAATGCCATGAAGAAAAGGCGTATGTCCTAATATCATAGGACAAACTATTCAACATGTTAATAAAATATCTGAGAAGACCAGTGATACTGAAGTGGCAAAGTTTTCTGCTTAAACTACAGTTATCCAGGAGAATAAAAATAAGCTATAAGGAAGTAGAGAAGGAAAAGGGTCACTGGGTAATAAAATAGCAGAGGAAATGCGGTTTAGATAAAAGCAAAGTGAGGCACAGGAAAAATATAATCCTAAATTTACATGTACAGCATGTGACTGAAAGTTGAGTAATAACAATCAGGATTGGGATTTTAAGTTTATGATAGGTTATATAGTTCTGTGAAAACATTACGTCAGTTCTTGATGATAGAAAAACAAAGCAGGGAACAGAACAGAAAAATCTCACAGTTTTACCATATATAAACACAGTATTACAATACCTACCATTTGAACATTGTGTGTATTTCTTATGATTTGAAGATGTTAACCATCTTTAAAGGATATAGTAGAACCAAATATTATAGAGAATTGGGCAAAAGAATGACCAAAGATAAGGAACAGTTTTCTATGTAAATATATCATCTTGGAAAACAAATAACTAAGGAGGGGTATAATTAAAGAGTATAAATACATGCATTAAACAGAAAAAGCAAATAGAGGATAATAATTTAATGTATTTCCTAACGTAAGAGTGAGCGTGCAATAAAAGCAATTATTAAGTACTTAATAAAAAAGAAGCAGGTAGGTTTTTTACACAGCATGCAGTGGAACTCATTGCCACAAGATGTTGCACCACCCATCTCATATTAGTCTGAAAGACATTAGACAAATGGACAGGAAATATCTCTCAAGGACAATTAAAGAAAAGATATCACCTTTTATAGTGCATCTGAACAAATGCCACTTGAATTAGCTGTTACCACTAGCTGGGAAATATTGGAGAACTGTGGCTACAGTATGCTGTCATACTTTTCCCAAATATTTCTCAGATTGTGGATACTGAACATAGGACTCTGGGCTAGATGAGCCATATGTCAGAGTGCAGACATTTCTTGTTCTAACAGTGATGACAATACCAGTAAGAACACAATGACTTCCATACAGCTTTGCAATGTGGCAGACCACAGCTGTCCAAGCTTAGTGGCACATGACCTAAGTTAATGCAGCAATGAAGACAGCCCGAGAATCTGATGAAAGCTTCATCCAAGAACTGCCATAAAGTATCAGCTTACATATACAAGGTCAGCTGAGAACTTTAATAACAAGGCAGTAATGTTATAAAGTGCACATTATATAGCACTGCTGTTTGATTTTAAATCAATTATAGATAATCAAAAGATAGTGTCAACAGAATGGTTGATGGTTCCAGAGGCTAACTGAATGCTATTATTTTCTCATAATATCATAAAACAACCCTATTCTGCTCTTAAAAAATTATCAGAACAGCCAACACTAACCTCCAGCAACACAAAGGCAGGAACTTTGTACAGTATGTTCTGAAATGATAGCAGCCTTCCAGTATCTGAAGGGGACCTATAAGGATGCTGGGGAGGGACTCTTCATTAGGGACTGTAGTGATACGGCAAGAGGTAATGGGTTAAAACTTAAACAGAGGAAGTTTGGATTTGATATAAGGAGGAAATTCTTCACTGTGAGGGTGATGAGGCACCGGAATGGGTTGCTCAAGGAAGTTGTGAATGCTTCATCCCTGGCAGTGTTCAAGGCCAGGGTGGACAGAGCCTTGGGTGACATGGTTTAGTGTGAGATGTCCCTGTCCAAGGCAGGGGGGTTGTAACTAGATGATCTTAAGGTCCTTTCCAACCCTAACTGTTCTATGATTTTATGATTATGTGATATGTCACAAAAGCCTCTCACCATAATGTGAGCCAAAACAGTCACTTTTAATCCCAGGTACAACTCTGATGTATTTTTAAGAATGATATTGCCATAACAGTAGAGAGACTAGACATAATCATTCACAATTCTGCTACATCTTAGGTTAGCAAGAAATTTGGTGCAACAGGATTCAAGCAGTAACTCAAAGGTGCTGCTGCTGAGATCCCCAACCCTCAACACGGTGAAGCTTACAAGTTTTACTTTACACTAAACTTACTCTGCCCCTCTGAACTTAACATTCACAATGCCCATACAGCCTAAAGCTGCACAAAGTTGTTGCTTTGAATCTGACATCCCCATTAAAGGCTGGTGTGCATCTTGAGCACAACTTACAGTTTAGGTCACAGTATCACAGTATCACAGTATGTTAGAGATTGGAAGGGACCTCAAAAGATCATCTAGTCCAATCCCCCTGCCGGAGCAGGAACACCTAGATAAGGTTACACAGGAACGTGTCCAGGCGGGTTTTGAATGTCTCCAGAGAAGGAGACTCCACAACCTCCCTGGGCAGCCTGTTCCAGTGTTCTGTCACTCTCACTGAGAAGAAGTTTCTTCTCAAGTTTAAGTGGAACTTCTTGTGTTCCAGTTTGTACCCATTTCCCCTTGTCCTATCATTGTTTGCCACTGAGAAGAGCCTGGCTCCATCCTTGTGACACTCCCCCTTTATATATTTATATACACTAATAAGGTCACCCCTCAATCTCCTCTTCTCCAAACTATAGAGACCCAGTTCCCTCAGTCTTTCCTCATAAGGGAGATGCTTCATTCCCCTAATCATCCTAGTTGCCCTGCGCTGGACTCTCTCCAGCAGGTCCCTGTCCTTCTTAAACTGAGGGTCCCTCTGAAAAGACTTGCTGTTTGTGCATACCAGAGCCACTTGTGAAACAAATTGGTGTGTAGTGTAGGTGGCTACAGCTAGCGAATTCTCTTTATTACTGCTCCACTCTTAACAGTCTGTAATACAGAGAATTCTTTAACTGCTCATGAAAACCAGTTAAGGAATTTTATTGGTTAAGTATGAGAGAATCAAAGAATTGTTGATGGTGGAAAGGTGAAGGTCTCCTTTCCAAAACCCCTGCTCCAGCAACTCCATGTACAGCTGCTTACTTGGGACTTTGTCTACATGCTTACTGAGTATCTCTAAGGTTGGAGACTCACAACCTCCCTGGGCAACCTATTTGAGTCCTCGGTGACCCTTACAGCAAAAAAGTGTTTTCCACTGCTCATATGGAACACCCCGTGTTTCACTTAGTGCCCATTGCCCCTGTCCTGTCACTGTGCACCACTGGAATGAACCTGACTGTCTTTTTTGCAACCTTTCTTCAGGTATTTATAAATATTAATATGAATCCCCAAGGAGCCTTCTCTTCCCCAGGCTAAACAGCCTCAGTTTGCTCAGCCTTTCCTCATATGTGAGTTGCCCCTGTCCCTTAATTATCCTTGTGACCCTTTGTTGAACTCTTTCCAATATGTACTTGTACTGGTGAGCCCGGAACTGGACATAGCTCTACAGGTATGATCTCACCAAAGCTGAATAAAATGGAAGGATTACCACCCTTGACCTGGCAACACTTTGTCTAACGCAGCCATGGATACCATTCTTCACAGCAGAGACATATTGCTGGCTCACATTCACCCTAGTGTTCACCAGAACTTCAGGGCCTTTTTTGACAAGCTGCTTTCCAGCTACATGCCCTCAGCATATATTGATACATGTGGTTGTTCCTCCCCATGTGCAGGACTTTGCATTTCTCTTTCTTGAACCTTCCTGTCAGCTCATTTCTCCAGCCTGTCAAGGACCTTCTGAATGGCAGCACAACCTTCTGGCATATCAGCCACCCCTCCCAGTTTGGTGTCATCTGCGGGCTTGCTGAGGGTACACTGCCCCATCATCTATCTCATTAATGAAGATGCAAAACAGGTCTGAACACAGTATTAACCCCTAGGGTACAGTACTAGTCACTGGCCTCCAACTAGAGTTTGCTTTGCTGTTCACCACCCTCTGGGTCTGGCCATTCAGCCAACTTTCCATCCACTCCACCATCTGCTCATCCAGCCTGTATGTCAACACCTTGTCTATGAGGAGCTTATGAGGCATAGTGTTGTAGGCTTTTTTTCCTGTCCCTTCATCTATGAGGCCAGTTACTTCATCACACACTTTTATCAAGTTGTTCAAGTATGACTTCCTCATTTTGTGTTTGAGTTTGCTCAGGAGCTACTTTTTTTGTCTAAAAAGGACATCTGGCTTTTTTTGCCTGGGTTCTAATTTGTTGGGATGGAGTTTTCTTGAGCTTGGGGAGGTGATCTTTGAATATTAACCAGCTTTCCTGGGCTTTTATTCCCTCTAGGGCCTTATTCCACAGGACTCTTGCAAGCATATCCCTGAATACACCAAAGTCTGCTCTCCTGAAGTCCATGGCTGTGATCACACTTTTTGCCCTGCTCACTCCTTCCTCTCTGGGTCCTAAATTCCATCATTTCATGGTCACTGCAGCTAAGCTACTCCTTGTTGTTGAGTCCATCACAGCACCTGTCCTTGTTGGGTCCTCAATCACTTTGAGTAAGTTATCGTCAATGCACTCCTGGAACTTCCTGGTTTGCTTATGTCCTGCTGTATTGTCCCTCCCGATATTAGGGTGGTTGAAGTCCCCAGTAGGACCACCTGTGAATGTGAGGCTGTTACTATTTGTCTGTAGAAGGCTTCACCCACTTCTTTCTGTCTAGATAGCAGAAACCTACTATGCTGTCACATTTGGCTGTCTTTTCTCTGATCCTAACCTATAAACTCTCCAACAGCTCCTTTTCCATCTTCAGGCAGAGCTTCGTACACTCCAGGTGTACACTCACATAAAGGGCAAATCTCCCCCCTCTTCCTTTCCTGTAACAAAAATGATCATAAAATTGTTATGATGCAAGAAAGTTCAATAGCCTCAGCCTATACTTTCAGAAATACCTGCAGCTCTCAGGAGCTTATATTTTCAGATGGCAGCTGTTGTCTTCAGACAAAAAAGGGAGTAACAGCACAAAATATGATTCTTGTCACTGTTTTATTATGCATCTTCTTCCTTGTTCTGGAGTTTCCAGTACATGACCAATCTGGTGAGAAAAGAGTTCCTTCTATAGGTTACATGATGAATCTGCTCTTGGTTTGGGTTTTTTTTTTTTTTTTAACTCAACATGGTTATGAAAAGCCACCTTGCTTCCTGCTGCCTGTAAGTACTTTGCTGTACTTACAGGCAAGGTTTGGTTTTGTGGGGGTTTTGTGGGTTTTTTATTTCCTGAGCTGCCAACTGCCCATGCATGAAACTCAGGATATTTGAAGATAAGACTACAGAAATTCCTAGCTATTTTGTCTGTACATTTCTTCTTTTTTTTTTTTCAGCTTTCAAGACAATGCTGCATTGCTCAGGGGAAAGATGTTTACAAAACTGTATTGATGACTAAAATGATAGCCAAGGCTGCTGGATGAGAAGGGAGTTATAAATAGGTGTCCCTGAAGAAAAGCAAAAAAAAAAAAAAGAACTTTGTGTACCAAATTCCGTTCTTTTCTGTGCCACATGACTCTTGAGCTATTAGACTGATTTCTGTGGCATTCCTCCAAGCTTGAACCAATATAGCCTGATCAGACTTCACCTCACACTAATTAACTGGTTTTCTTTAAATGTCATGTTCTAGGGAATGCAATCAGATGAATACGCAGTTATTTTCCCAATTCTTTTACGCCAGTTTTCAAGAAATATATAATCTATGAAACCTATGGTATTATAGTTTTCCAATAAGGCATGTGTGAAATATTTTGTACTGTCATATTTAATATCACATATCCTCATGTCATATTAAACTTTCATTTGTTGAAAACCAAGGGGTGATGTCAGGCCAGAAACTTAATAACATAATATCTCTTGAGATCTCTACTATATATTTATCTTGCAGAAAGTTTTGTTTGGGAAAAAAAAAAAAAAAGATAAAGAAAGGAGGAAGTGGTCAAGGAAATTCTTTTTTAACCGCTGAAGTACTATTAATGATATGGAAAATTTTTCCATCTCCCCCTTGACAGACAAAGGTTGCTGTAGTAAATAAACATCTCTTTCCAACTCTCATGTGCATGTGTTTTTTCTATGTCCAGTCACAGCCATCACATAAGTTAATGAAAGTCATATTCTGCCTAAGATTCTGCAACTGTCACAATTAAGCCAGTTCTCTAAAGTTTCCTTTTTGCTGCAATTAATAAGCAATACTTTTTTGTTTGCTCACAGTGAGAAGCATCTTTAGTTTCTAGTTTTATTACCATCCCAAAAAGAGTGCACTGCCCGTTCTTATTCTGTAGGTAGCAAGATATATTTTACCTTGGGCTTTAAATCAATTGTTTTTCATTTTTAACTTACTGTTTAAATTCAGAAATTAAACTGAAAAGGCTTTATGCTTCTCTGAATCTAAGGACTGGCTTTTTAAGGAATTTATATCCCAGTTAATTACGTACCTTGATTTAAAGCAAGCTGTCTGCTTATTTCGACTAAGATTCAGCATACAATTAAGTTTGCAGTATAAAGGATCTGATTTGATTCTCATTAATGCCAGCAGTAGTGACTGGCTGGTATCAATGAAAACACACACTGATTCTGCAGAAAGGAGTAGTTTTAAAAAGAGTGTGATTTATTCATTGTTATGTCACAAAAGATCAACTCTATTTACAGTATTGAAGTAATGAAGACTTCAGTATTTTTTATATTTATATGTAGATTATTAGATAATTTAAAAGAAAAAGAAAACTTATATGATCTTCAAACTCTTCCCATGAAATTTTCAGTTCATTTTATCGCTTTATATACTGAAAAGACAGCAAGTCAAATATTGACTTCATGCTGAACAATGACTTTTACATCTGTATATATTTTAGATAATTCAACTGTATGCTTGCCATGGCACCTTACAATTAAATGGACACATTGTATTTCTTGAAGTTTTATGTCCCTTTGCATTGTGTGTAGTTTCACTGTGAGAACTACTTTATGCTTGAAGATCCCCAGAGACTTTTAAGTACTATTCCAGCTTTACAGATGGGCAAATTGAAGTCAGAGCTGCTAAAATTATGCTAAAACCATACTAAAACCATACAAATACTAATCAGCAGAGCAAGAGCTAGAACATACTGGTCTTGACTGCCAGACTTCTCCTCAAACTAGAGAGAATGATACAAAAACCAGATTGAAAATAATAAGCTAGAACAAAAAGGCAGAAAATAATCTGAATAGATGAGTAGTAGCACTATTGACCGGGTAAATTATATTGTACATGCACAGCCAGAAATCAGTATGTGCAATGAATGAGTTTATCAAACAGACAGAACAATCCATTGTGGTATGTCTTGATTGTTAGTGGTGCTGGCAGCTCAGCTGAACCTTACAGGGTAATTAGCTAAGGATAAATTAATCTGTTCTCAAATGCAGGCAGCTGATCTTTCCCAGGTTGTGAGCCTTGCTGAAAAGCATGTTTGTTGGGTTTGGTTTTTTTCTTTCTTTTAATGATTCATTTAGTCTTCCTTAGAACTTGAGTAAATAGTTGCATCTGCAGCTATGAAATATTACTTTAACATTTTAAAAGATTTTTTCTGAGTAAAAAAGCTGCATAAGTTGGATTAATGTCAGACCATTTTCCAGTTAATACCGGATCTTTAGATTCTTTGTGCTGCAGGAAATATCACATAGCTAGTCTCAAGGAAGACAAATATTTAGTTTTTGCAATACTGTCCTTAAATGGCTACATGTAGCTTAGGCAAAAATGATTTGGCACAAATTTCTTTATTTTACTCAAGCTGCCATAAATGAGGTTTATTCACAGTTCTCTGGTTTTTTGAAAGTTGAGATCTTGTTTCTTTTAAGCTGTCCGGGAACATACCTGTTTTCTGGCATATGTTTCTGTTTCAATGGTTCTGTTTTAAAGGAAGCTATTTCCAAGTACTCTTTGTGACACCAGCTCTTCTAGCTCTGCCTTATTAGAGCTGACAGGCTAAAAATATAATTGATATTTTAACTTTCTGCAAAGTATTTTTAAAAGAATAGGAAAAAAAAAAAAGAGAAGGGAAAACCACATTCAAGATACTTATTTTCTTTTAAAACCTATTGAAATCACTCACTACTAATCCAAACCAGAAATGATGCTGTTCTGCACAAAGAACTAGTATAACTGCCACCCTCTTTCCCCCCTTCATTAAAAATTAAGGTTTATTTAAACTAATAAACATTTAAGCTGATTTTTTTTTCACCCCATGAATTCTGTTGTGCATCCCATAGAAACCAGATTTTCAAGTATTTCAATTCTTAAATATGGGCTATTTTATTTGAATTGAATACACACTATACACATAACCTGCTGGAGATACACCTCCTGTTATGTGTCTGATGATGGTGGATGTAGGACAGAGGAGATTGACCTTTCCTGTAGTGCTTCATACCTTGGGATGAAGATTGTTCATGGTTGAGGAAAACTGAGGAGGGGCGCATCAGGGCCTGGCCTCACAGAGGAGTACACCATCTCACCTGTAGTCGGAGCAACTCCCAGCTGCACAAGGCTGTCAAACAGAAGAAAGAGAAGTAAAAGCACCCTGAACTGATTCTCTCACCTTGCATTCCAGACCAAGTCTTTTCTTGTGGCTTGTTCAAGTCCAGCCGCTCAGGGGCTGGCTGGATTGTGGCAGATTCAGTGCCGCTGCAGCCAGGTGCCCATGGCTGTCTCCTCTCCCCTCTGAGGCACCTGGCTGTGTACCTGCTTCTTCCTCCTTCCTGTGGGTTGGCCAGCTTTGCTGTGCCTCAGGGCTCACTCCTCACTTGGTCATTTCCTCACAGTAGTCCCCCCAGCCCCTCTGCCAACCCCTTACACAATGCTCCCCCAGGAGGAGGGCTCAGCCCCTTGCTCCATCAGGAGCCTTCGACCTTCGCAGCAAGGACAAGCCGAGCCTATGGCCTCCTCTACTGACAACCCACAACCCTGGACAGGAACACAACAGGCTACATGAAAGAAATGGCGAACAAACAAAATAACAGATACAGTCTTTCACAGCTGATAACTCTTGTGGGAACTGCAGCACCAAGGGGCCAGGGGGTGGGAGAAATTCTGAGGTGAGACAAATACCCCCAGGCCTCAGCTGCTGTCCCCACTGCCCTGGCAGGCAGTGGTGGCTCCGTGGTGCTGGTTAGCAATGAGCTGTGGGGAGGAAGGCATGTCTGGACACTAAGATGTCCATCTCTGTGTGTGCTACAGCAGACCCTGTGGGTGCTACAGCTATGGGACTGGAGCACCTCCCATATGAAGATAGGCTGAGAAAGTTGGGGCTGTTCAGCCTGGAGAAGAGAAGGCTGCGTGGAGACCTCATAGCAGCCTTCCAGTATCTGAAGGGGGCCTACAAGGATGATGGGGAGGGACTATTCATTAGGGACTGTAGTGGTAGGACAAGGGGTCATGGGTTAAAACTTAAACAGGAGAAGTTTAGATTGGATATAAGGAGGAAATTCTTTCCTGTTAGGGTGGTGAGGCACTGGAATGGGTTGCCCAGGGAGGTTGTGAATGCTCCATCCCTGGCAGTGTTCAAGGCCAGGTTGGAAGAGGCCTTGGGTGATATGGTTTAGTGCAAGGTGTCCCTTCCCATAGCAGGGGGGTTGGAACTTGATATTAAGATCCTTTCCAACCCTAACTATTCTATGATTCTATTACTTCAGCCGCCTTTGGGAAACCTGTCAGAGTATGCCTGTATGATTCAGAAGACCACCCCAGCTCCCCTTGCAGCACCTCGTCCCTCACCTCAGGTGTGGGTGAGATGGGTCTCATGGCAGGACACCTGAGCCAGAACAAGCAGGACATCACCATCAGTGGCTTTTGCACAGGTACCCCACCTCTGCTCTTGGGTAGGGGAAGAGCCCTCCACACTGCCTGATTTGAGAGAGGCTTTGCACATGCTCATCCAGATTTTTAGAAGTTGTCCATTATTCACAAGTAGCTTTCTGGAGTTGTAGCTCAAGCCCTGAGATCCGTAGGTAATTTTGCTCATTGATTTTGCTGTAAGATAGATGGTGCAATAGTTTCCAGCTCCCCTGAGCAGTGTGCACAAATCAGACATCATGTTTTTTTCACGGAAACCAAAACTTAAATGAAAGCTACTAGTGAGTTGCAGGCTTGGAAACTTACCTCGCCACTGGTGGTATGTCTGCCTGAATGACCCCTGAGTATCTCCTTCAAATAATTCACATTTTTATTAAGTTTACCATAGCCCATTAACAGCTTCCTAGCAAGGCACATGGCTAGGCTGTTGTCAGCCACAAAACTGGTTTTCTTTGAAGTTTGTGTTTGTTCTGACAGATCAGCTTGATTAATGGTGGCCCACTGTCACTGAACATGGCAAGGCCAGGAAAGGCAACATGCTCCTTTGGTTCAGGTTTGACTGATGAATGAGAAAAAGCTGCAGTGAATGTGATTTTCCTTTTACATGGGGCTTGCAGTCAAAACTGTTTCAATGCATATTGACTAATAGCAGCAGGTCAGGCAGTTAATAAAACCTTTGCATCAGAGGAGAGATTGGATTAGAAAACAATAGCACAACCTTAGTTTTCTTAGCCTGCAAAACCACTGCGAAGCTCCTTTCATATATCACTCAAGATCTGTGAACTGAGATATTAAGCATAATCAACAAGGAAAACTAGATATGTGACTTGTAATCAGGATCTTCTACAACAAGACTTATGAGATTTATTTTTTCTAAGATATGAAAAGGGTTTATTTAGAAATGTTTAGTTAGTAATATGAGTTTACTATTATTTCTTAATAATTATTATTTCTTAAATAGAATCATCATGGTGACATCGGGTAAGAGGGTAAAAGGTTAATTCAAGCTGGGAGGGAGCTTTAGAGGTCTCTGTTCCAATGTGCTGCTTAGAGCCATAGTCGGATCAGGCTGCTCAGGGCTTTTTCCAGCTGGAATACATAACCCTCTGAGGACGGAGGGAACCTACACAATTCCCTTGAGCAGCTGGTGACACTGATTGCCTGGGCTTCTAATGGAAGGGCTTTCTTACTAGTCTTCACTTTTCTTGCCACTCACCCTCCCACCATGCCCTTCTAAGAAAAGCCCAGCTTCATCTCCCCTGTAGCCCCTCACAGGCAACTGTTAGGTTGTTACCTGAACCAGCCCTTCTCAAGGCTGAATCAGCCCCGTCTTTCCTGTACTGGGGCCTCAGAATGGACCACAGTATTTCAGTGTGCTCTAGTGAGGGCTGACGAGATGAGGAGTTTCCCCTGTTAACTGACTGGCCATGTTCCTGTTCATACAGTCTGGGACACATTTGGCCTCTGTACCTGCCAGAGCACACCGCTGGCTTATGTCCTGCTTGATGTCCGTCCTGACCCCTGGGACATTTTTATCAGAGCTGCTCCCCAACCTGGCAGTCCCTAGGCTATATCACTGCAAGGGGTTATTCAATCCTAGATCAGGACTGTGTGTCTGTTCCTGTTGATTTTGTAAGGTTCTTGTTGGCCATAACTCCATCTTGTTTAGGCCCTCTAAGTGGCAACTCTTGAAATAGAACTTGGTTCAGGGCTACTGAAAGCTAAGAAAATTAAGTGTCCCTTGCTGTAAGAGGATTTTAGCAACATTTAATGAAGATTATGACTTAAAGAGTGTATGGGCCTCCTGGAATTGAGCTTTAATTCACAAAAGCTCAGAAACCATTTTGGATACAATTTCTTTAAACTGAAAATCAATCTTTGTGCAGTAATACAAGCAGATCAATGTCACCTCTGTTCAAAAGCTTTTTAAATTTAGAATAATAGGAATAATTAACCTGTAAAGAGATCAATAAATACATAACATTGTATTTCTTAGCCTATGAAACATTAGGTTGCTCGGAAATGAGAGACAGAGTATTCTTTCTCATAGTTGCATTTTTCCTTTAATTTTGGAGACATTACCACATCTTAATGTGATAAGCTGTTTGATATTTATATTCCCTTTGATCTGCACAATGATGCAAGTCTGTAAATATCCTCAGGTACCGAAGAAGGACCAAATCATTAAAGAACAAAGAAGAATATTTAGGTATCGAGTTCCTTTTTATTTTGCGAAACAATTTTGATAATTTTCTTCATTGTTGGCAGACAAAAATCTGGTCTGTACTGTGTCTTCAAAATCAGATAAAGAGAAGGCTCCAGGCAAGTCTGGAAGATCTTACACCACAGGGAGGGAGCGGATGACTTCTGAGACAAATACAAGTCTCAGCTAAATCATACAGAGTTCACAAATCTTACCTAGGGTTATGTTACAGTAGTAACTACCCGTGCTGTTGGCAGTGTAACAAATAAAAGAATTTAAAAAATACTGGTTGAACCCCTGCATAGAATAGGTATTTCCAGACACAGAAATATGTAGAGTTAGTCAAACTAATTTAGGTGTTATGCCTAATTTATGAAAACAGCAAAAAAATATTTCTTTCCCTTCCTTCCTCTTGTCTTCCTCCCCACTTTCTTTCCTCAGCAAGCTGCTTTTAATTTCCTAGATGTTTTAGGTTCAAATGCTTCAAAGTAAAAAAGGACAAAGTGCAATCTAATCAAAAGCTGTCATGCAAGGCACAGTTTCCGTTAATTCCACTGATAGCTGAATATTGTTTGTGTTTTGGCTAAGCATGAACAAGTCAAAGAATCATTGTGGAAATAATTTTAGTAGCTTCTAGCCTTTACTTGTGCCTTTGAGAGACATAATAAAATTTCTAATCACTCCAAATGGATGCCTACATCAGGAATCCCAAAAGTCAGAATCTAGAAACCAATGCAGCCAAGACAAGATCATCTGTATTTCTTTCTCCACCATGATTATTTTCAAAGAGATTTTTTTTTTTATTACCGTATATGTTATTTCTGTTATACTGAATAAGAAGTTTTGACTGCCTGTCCACTTTCTATTTTGTCTCTCCCACAGTCCTCTGTGTTACTTGTTCTTTCATGGAGGTCTCTTCTGTATCTTAAGTGTTATAATTTATAAATGGAAATCTCTATAGGGTTCTCATTATAAAAAACATTCTTGGCAAAGTATTTTTAATGGTGAGTGTGGCAAAGTTGCGTAGTATCCTGAAGGAAACTGTATCTCTGTGTTAGATCTACCTGAAGTGCATTAGTTCACCCACATGGAAACAAGGACATCTCTTACCTTGAGCACTGAACACATATCTTCCTAAATTTGCACCAGGGGAAAAGATGACAATACTCCAAGTGGTAATATTGCTAGTATAAGAAGATTCAATGGTACTGGTCTCTGTCAAACATTACGTTTTACTTTGCATTAGCCAACCTAGAGAAACATTCCTGCAGTGTGAATATGCTTACTGTATGAACCTGCATACTGTATGAACCTGCATACTGTGCCTGAAATACTAGATTCCCTTACCCTGTGTCTTCTTAAGAAAAACCCTAAAACTAACATTATTTGTCTGTGTTCTGTTATCACCCCAGTTACTGAATCTTAGCACAGGATTATTCTCACTTGCACCATATGACCAGTTGCTACCTGGTTTAAAAATCAAATTCTGTCTCTGTTTATAATCAGCAAAGACAAGTCCTTAATAGTAAAAACAGAGTAAGATGATTGGACTTTTGGTTCCATCTGGATCTTTCCATTGACTGCAGATGGAAACTACATAGATAATATGAACTTTCATATCTACCTTTCAGGCAGCTGAAGTTAGGTGAGATTGTCTTAATTGATTTCTCAGTGGATTAGTCAGTTTTTTAATCTGTAAAAACTGTAGTTAGAGTTTCTGTTTTATTAATAAACCTTGTTTTATATAATCAGCCTTTTTAGGTGTATGACTACTAAATGAAGTTAGACTTACTTGCTAAAACTCATCTCTATGAATCAGGTAGGTACCCGAAAGATTATTTTCTTTAGTCATTCCACTCTGAGTCACATGTCTGTGGCTTGTGTTTTAGTCCTATTTATGCAATATAGGTAAATGTTAACACGTCTGCAATACCTTAAGAACAGTTGTATGTGATGGAAGTCTCTCAATGCAAGTGAAAAAACAGTATTATTCTGAAATAAATGCTAAATCACTGTTTATTAAGCATTACAGGATGTTGTGTTCTAGATCAGCTTTCAGATCAACATCAAAACTATGATACTTATTATTTATGGACATTTAAGTTCTTACTGTTATCTTTTTTTCAGAGCTATAAGGTACGCGTATGTATATCCTGGTCTGTCATCATTCTATCTCATTCT